ACCTTTGGTAACATCAAGGCTATTATCTGTTCCTTCCCTCTGGAAAAAAACAAAACAAAAAACAAAAAGAACAACACAAAAAACACCTAGCATACGTGTTCAGCATTGCTTCTAGCTGCAGTGGAATAGAAAATGCTTATCACTAGCTTCAAGACAGAAATCGATCGTGGTGTCTTATTCTAGAATAACAGATGTGTATGAGTACATCTACCTTCTGCGCACCATGATCAATGATTTTGCTTTTCTCTCTGAGTACTGGATTTAAACCATTACATCAGAATTTTTATATACGTAAAATGTTGTTTCTTATTTTCCTCAGCCCTCTACAGAGTTTTTCAAAGATAGTTCCAGTTTCCTGTATCAATTGTTCATATTTCTCTAGAGCTGCTTTTAAGCTTACTGCTATTACTCTTGTTTATACATTTGTGATTTTTCACTACTGCCATCATTTTTCTTCTCAATCAATAGCATATTTTTAGGCTGGAGATATCTTTTAGAGTGTATTTTGACGCTGAATTTATCAAGTATGAATTATATTTCACAGTTTCCTGTTTAAATGTTTCCTGTCACATAATTTTACTCACAGTGTTTCTCAATCTTGAGAAATCAGTTTTCTAAAAGATCTAATATATACATTACTAGTAAAGTGTTGTCAAAGCAGATATTGGTGAATCACATAGATATTTCTGATGGGAAAAAAATAACAACATCCTTCTATTTCCCAAAACAAACACTGAAATAAGGATAACTGTAAAAATACCCTGAGTTTGTCTTTTTGTTTGTTTTGTTTTAGGATCTCTCACCAAATTAAATTAGTAATACCTTGTTTTCTAAGAATTTATCAGCTTGCACTGATTTGTCTTACGGAAAGACATACACTAATTTAGAAGTTTATCCTAATCACAAGATCCTTTTCCCTGCTCTGATTGATGTTCTTCGTGACCTTAAAAAAGTCAGTCAGTCATTCTATGCTTCAATTTCCCATCAGTTAAGTGAAAATTACTGTTAATATTGCATACATGTGCATAAAGCCAATCATACCAAGGATTTTCTATTTCCTTTCCTTATGTAGGAAGAGTTCAAAACATTACCAAAAAAAAAAAAACAAAAACCTGTATTAATATATTCTATACAATTTTCAAAGGCTGTATTAGTAGCACTGTAGTTAATTTATGAATCGGTGGATTATTTGACTTTCCATTGAGTGTCACAGAAAGTAAGTTTAGGCCTCGCTGTCTGGATCTTAAATTTGACTGAGTTGTGTTAAAAAGCTCATACAGCTAGGCATGTGACAACCTCACTGAGTACACTGAAGAGCATTACTTATTCCTTCCAAAATCAGAGTAAACTTGCATTACATTTTCCCTTTTTCCAATTAACAGCCCAGAAATAATTTATGTGCTTTGAAAAAAAATAGAATCACTTGGGGCCAAACCCACACTGTCTATTGGAGATTCACCAGTGAAATTGGAGAGAAAATAGACATAACTGTTACAGAATCATAGAAAAATGGTGAATGTAAATGTGAAATACTGCCTGTCATCAGTCCTCAGATTCTCAGTTTATGTTAGCTGATCCGACAAGCAACACTGTCTTTACACATTTAATTAAAGTGTACATAGGACAAACACAAGCCATTTCATACAGGCCACCAAATATGTTTCTTGTTACCACAGCTTCAAAAGTGACTTGCTCAGATTTAGCTCCTATGTCAAGAACTCTTGTTTGTTTTTTCCTTTAGATAGCAAACACATATCTGGCATATAACCACTTCAATTTTGACAGGACAGATTTTGTCTTTTTTTCTATCAATTACTACAGATCTCAGCTCAAATCAGAGCACATCAACCTTTAAAGTACACAAAATTCAAACTCCAAACCCAAACATTTTAAATTTTAGCATCTGATGCAGATTTTGAATGCTGAAGATTTGGTGTTTCCATTCTAGCTTGAAGTTTTATGCAACAAAAAAACAGGAACATCAGAGTTCATAGGTGTTCTTACATGCATGTACACCTTTCACTGTGTTTAAATAAGCTTATATAATCAGGAACTCGGTTAATAATATCTCATTTATGAATTTGCCTATTTAACTGAAAATACCCTATTAATTTTAGTTCACTAAAACATAACCCAGCTGTAACTTGACCCATTTTGAGTAGCTATACTTAAACCAGTGTTATGTTTTTAGTACTAAAGACTGATAACTTGATAGCTCCCTAGGGTTTGTTGGTTACGGTTTAAGCACAGAGCTGACATTACATGCTATTTTTCTGAAAATCCCAGCAGTAATATTACAGATGAGATACTGGTATGTCAAGGCATATTCAACAATTAAGTTGGAATGTGGATATCTTCAAACAAATAGCATCATTCACTATCCTACAATGTAATTCATTTTTAGATCTCTTTAATCCTATGAAAATGGAACTGTAAACCCTAACAAAAACAGTAGCTCAGGAGAGTTCTTTGGGCCCAGACAAAACCAGCCTGGATTCTGTCATCCTCACTGATGGTGAACAGTAAGTTACACTGTAAATACTCCTCATTATTTCAGTATGAATAAAGGTCACAGAATGTGGTGCTTAGGGATTACATAATAATTTTTCATCTGCATTTCCCAACGTGTTTAGTATGCATTACTCATTCATTCCTGCTTCTCAATTGGGAAGCTGATGTAAAGTTAGATCAAATGAGGTATCCTACGTTATTCAACAAGACAAAGGGAGCCAAGGACCTCATTTCTTTTTCTAAACTGATTTTAATAGAACGGGTTGTATTCTATTAACATTTTTTTCTGCTTGACATATCCCAAAAGCTACATTTCAAAGAGCATAGAGGCCCGCCATGTCTATATTTATTAGTCATTTCTTAACACATCAGTGAATGTAAGCAATGATGCTGCCTGATCATGACAAACACTTCAGTCCAAACACAGAAGAAAAAAATAACCATACATAGCAAATCTATGAATCTGAATGATTTAAGGCTTTCATTCAGATTAATGGAGGGTTTTATTCTATTTCCCAGAATTTATGTGTTTGTTTTTTCATATTAAAGGAAGTTTCTAGCTTCTGGTTGTGAAGATAGCCTTGACAATGTAAACCAACATACTTTCATCTTGTTGAGCTCTCATCCTTACCAGCTAAAACAATAGCATCAAGCACAGTTAACTTCCCCCATTCATCTTACTGGAGTGTCAGCCTTGAAGCATAAACATGCACACTTAAGTACCAACACTGTTAACCAATTCACTGCTTAATATAACATGAAAAATATCCAGTCAGCACAGTTAGCGTCTGGATGTTTGTGATGTTCATCCCATGCTATCACTTGATAATCTTTAATAAAATAATGTATTCAAAATGAATATATTGAAATAAGTATGCATATAATGAAATATTAATAAAAAAATAGAGAACAATCTACTAAGCCTAAGGTCTGTTTTTCTGCATAATGTCACATACTAAAGCTTTGGTATGCTTTTCAAACAGCTCCTCTTGCATATTCAAAAGTCTCTAAGCAGTGACTCACCTACTTCCTACTTCTAACTCATGCAGTCCACAACCAATTTCTTGACTTCCATGACAAAAATGTCACTACACATATATATTTAACCTCTTCAAGAGAAGTGTTCAAAATTCACCTGAAAGGACTTGAATACTCATTTATACTGAAATGGTTGAAAAAAAAAGAAAAAAGAGAGACATTATAAAAAATTAAGAGAGAAATTATTAAAAAAACACCAACATCATCTTGGCAGTACTGAAGTATTGCAAAGGTAATGAGGGAAACAAAGAGACTACAAGAAATTTGCCCCTTCTTCTTAAACCTTTCAGACAAAAATAAATAATATTCAGTTATTATACATCAGAATCAGTTTTTCTCTTGAGAAACCAAAACACTTCAATGTGCCCATTTTACAGATGAAAAAAGTGAGGTTTTAACCTGAAAAGGTCATTCAACAGGAGAGCAAAAGCAGAGGCTGTGAAGAACACAAAATTCCAACACATCTGTCAACTTACTGGATCACTCTACCTCTGTACAGGTGGAGTTTTGTGTATTTATTGCAAACTCCATTAATATCTGATAGGAAAGAGGCTAAGCTGCCCTCCGCCTCTTTACCTTGAATCTCTGTATTGTAACATGAACCCACAGCCACAGCGTCAAACACAAGTGCCAAATCTTGCTACCCGAAAGCAAGAAATATTCATGCTTTGCCAATACTGCCAGCCTGACAGAGGACAAGGCTGGTGGAGGAAATCAGCCTCTATTATTGAAAACATTTCATGAGGTCCCCAAACAATGGAAGTAAACTTCAACAGGAACCAAAAGCATATTCCTGATTCCTCTCTCTGTATTGTTCAGTGCTCAGACCAGGAACAAATTAATCTAATTAATACACGCTGTGTGTACCTGATTCCTGGATGTGTATCTATGTTTCCCGCTAGAGATTTTTCTTCTCATCTGCATTCATTTTCTGATAGGCAGCTTTTCACTAACCTTTTTCTGCCTATATCTTTCCCTCCCTGCTTCTTTCATGAGGATACTTCAGATCAATGTTTTTACACTGAAAATACAGTTAAGCACAGAATACATTTTAAAATTGCTACAGTATGAAGAAGTGGGGTGTATTTTTTATGTAAGAAAAGTGAAAAGCACCTGGAGTGTGCATCTTCCAGGGGAAAAAAAGTGTATTTTCAGGCGTAGTCCTGAGAAGATATCTTGGCTGTTGCTTCTATTGAACAACACCTGACATAAATTCATTCAACAGTTATCAAGATAGCATTTAAGTCAAGTTCGTATGGCCCTATGTGATTAGAAGCTTTAAAAACAGATCTCAAAAACTGTATTTACTTTCACTGGTTTAGCTCTTGCAGAAGGAATCTTTCAATCTAGTTTTTATTGAGAAGACACTTCTTTGCTTTCAGCGCAGTTAACAGATACAGTGAAGTACTACACGACTTGCACGATTATTTTGTTGCTGCATTTCTATTTAGGTATGCAGAGCAGCACACAGAACCGCAGTTTGTGTGGAGAACACGAACGAAGGAAAGAGAAAAAGATACCAGACTGGCAGCGATCCCAAGCTGCTCACATGCTGATGTTCAAGACAGCACATGTGTGTGCCACATGAGCAGGTGAAACTGTGATCCTACATGTGCGGAAGGGAGAATAGTAATTAAACAATCAGATGTGCTAAGTGCATCATGCTGGGACACCACTATGCTTCAGATGGGCTACGAGGGTTGAAACCTGAGGCAATAACTCAGGAAGCAGCCAAGTTACAGCTATGATCATAAGGATTTCCATGAGGTCCCTGAAGTGAAACGATGCCTTAGTGTCCCGACACACTTCCCAGCAGAAGTCAGACACTTCACCGCCTAAGGCACCCTTCAGCTACGAAGACGCTAAGATTTCACTCTGGATTCGTTCCACAGCTCCTCTCCTGCCTTAACGGGCTGCAGCCCTCCCCACTGAGACTCCCCACCGCTGCCTGCTCTCCAGGACGGTGACTTGCCCTCGCAATGAGACCGCCTGGACCTGTCCCAGCGGGCTGAGCACTCTGCCCTCTGCCGGGCCGGAGCTGCGGTATCACAAACCATGCACCGCTGGTTGGCAGCGATGGAGGGGCACAGGGAGCCCCCCGGCAAGAAGATTTCCTTCTGATTTTAATTGTGGCTGCCAAAAGGGTAGTGAAAGGGGTTGCAATAAAGCCTGAGGAGTTAAAATCTGTGCTTGCTTTAACAGCTGTCAAAAACTTTCATTCCAGAGCAGCATGGATTTCTGCATCCTGTTTTGTCCTTCCCTCTCCATTTGGACTGATAGTATTTGCCCAGATTTTTTTTATATTTTATTTTTAACTAGAATGTGATCGTTATGTTAAAAATAATTATTATCATTATTTCTTTTGATGTAGAGGCCACAGTGTCTGGAGAACACGGGTTTAGGCTTTGCACTGTCACTGAACTATTAACCTAAACTGCACGGACACGCTATGCCAAATAGCCATGCATTTGTTCAGCTGGTCATGGCCCTTTTTAAAGCAAAACACGGGGATTTTCTCAAGAAGAGATACAGCAGAGGGTCACAGAGGGCACCTACCCTTCTGCTCCAACCCTGACCTGAAGAGCACCATTGGGGCCCTGTTGTTTCTCCTGTCCGAAATTACACACTCAGAGGGTGTTGAGCACCACAGCCCTGATCTCTTGCGCCGTCTCTGAGAACTGCTGTCATGTGAGCAATAAGTGCCCATCAGTGAATATTTCACTCCACTTCTCCTGCTGAATGCAAGGCAGCTTGGAGTTTTGCCTCTTGTGATAGAAGCCTTGTGTACCATGAACCCAAGCTGTACACAGATTACCTGCCTTTACTTAACCGTGTGTAGAATTGCCTACCAGGAATCCCAGTATATTTTATATGTCATTAATGAAGTTAACATTTCTATTAAATACTGCTCCTTTCTGGGATTCTTACTCAACCTTGAGGATAATAATCAAGAAAAAACAAAACAAAACAAAACAAAAAAACCTTTCTGTCACATTATTAAATGTTTGATTGCAACAGCATAGAAGACTTGGGTAGTACAATGCCACATTGGCATCTTTCCAGTATGGGAAATTTTTTCCATACCTTTTTTTTTTTTTTCCCAAGTCAATATATTGCAAAACAGTTGCCTTCTTTAATATCACAGATTTATCCAGAGTTTACAATGCAATCATTGCTCCTTGCTATTGGAAATGATTTATTTAGCCAGTTTTGGCCTTCATTCCAAAAGGCTGAATGCCAAATCATTACAGTGTATCTGGTGTTCTGTTGTCAGAAAATATGATCTAGCATTAAGATACTACTCAGAGACTCTGAAAGCCAGGGAAAATAATTGTGGTAAATCAAAACCTCATAAATACTTTATAAAGTTGTTTTTAATGTCTGTCCTTATGTGTGACAAAAAAGTACCAGTTTACATGCAATGAGAATATGTGAGTTTGGAGGCTTCATTTCCTATACTGTCTAAGTTTTAAAACCTTGTTATAGTCAATCCCATATAGATGCAGAAGTCAGGCAGTTGTTGTCACATTATATTTTCTGGTACTACTGCATTTTAATAAGCCAAAAGACAGTAAACTACTTTTCTAGATTTAACTCCAAATGATGTATTTTCTTTTCTCTTTTTTCTTTTTTTCTCTTTTTTTTTTTTTTTTAAAGAGAGTACCAAGAGTATAAGAACTGTATACATGGCTCTGAAGTTGAGGCCACAACCATGCAAGCATATACACACAGTAAATGCTCAAGGCAGTTAAAGAAAAGCACATGCCAAAGACTTAGGAGCAGCTGGCCCCAAATTCTGGCCTCAACACACCATGTGAAATTGAACATGTGTGGACTAGGTTTGACTCCCTTCAGATGCCTCTGGAACACAATAATATCTCACTGGGTAAGAAATCTGTTCTGTCTTCCAAACTACTTATGCCAATAACTTAATATTTCTCCACCAAAAAATCCATAACGATTTTCCCGTGCAGCACATCACTGTGATGGATCACGGTGATTGCCGGAAGCTTGGAAATGGTAGCATATCGGGGATGGATATTAAACTGACTCTGTCTAGAGGCATGGGAATCATGAGGGAGCAACAGGCAGGATAATAAACTCAAGCAGAGATCATGTTCAGATCTTGCTCTGTAAATATTCCACTTATTTTTGGAGAACCAGAAATCTATCGTTTACCTTTTATGGTTATAAAATTGCATTACCCACAAGTGAAGTGGGGGCCAGAGAAGTTGCTACCTCACATCGTATTGAATACAAATTCAGAAGCAACTAGCCAATGCAATATGGAGAGGTGCTTTCTGCAAAAAGGAAACCACAGAGTCCAGGAGGGAACATTGTGTTGAAAAAGGGGGCTGGGCTTGGAGGTGGAGCTCAGCCTGATCTCACTCAGTTGACACTAACAGTTTAAACCATGGCTTCATTCCAAAGGAGGACAGAATTTGTTTGATCACACTCATGCATCACTCTGAAAGAAACAGAAGGCAATGAAAACACGCAAATCTCTGATGTACTTGATAAGCTATAGAAGCAATAGCAATTTCACCCAGCTTTGTTTTTTCGCTTGGTTGCATTATTGCTTTTTTGTTAGCAAGGAAAGAGTCTGATCTACATGTTCCAGGGTGACCAATAACTTTGTGGTCCTGGCTCAGAAGAAACAAGAATCTATTTCATAGATTGTAAGCAACTTTTATAAGTGTTTCATGCTGAACAGACACATTCAGAATCTTTAAACAATTTCGAAAATTCTGACCATCATGTGGACTTCTTTCTAGCAAGAGTATCTCTTGGGCATCTCACCAAGAAACCCAAAGTGAGGAAGAAGGAATCTGGGGACAACCGTAAAACAACAGTATTTCTCCTTACACCCTGCTTTTAATCTGCTTTTAATCTGTCCTGATTTCCTTGTACATCAATTTTTTTTTTTTTGAATAAGGCAGCCCCTCTACTGACTCTGCAATGACAGTCTCACTTCAAAAAAATTGAAATCACTAGCGTTAATGAATGTTGAATCAAAACCCAACATTCCCGAAAAATGCTTGGCTTTGATCCACATATATCTTAGGATAACAGACCTGCAGAGTACATTCCACTTTAGAAGACTGTAAATATGACTTACTCTCAGCTTATTAGGATTGTGGAATAAGAACTTTTCAGTTGAAGACAGCTTTCAATGGTCTTTCAATACCCTCAAAGTTTGATGATAAGTATGAAATGAAACACTAGCAGTGTAAAAGGGAAAACATGCACTATACAAGAAACAAAGTTTTCTTCACTTACGTTCAACTTCTAAGATATATAATTAAAGCTTTTACCAACCAAAAATACTTTTCACTGAAATATCCTATTCAATCTCTTTCTCTAGGAGATTCCACAGTGTATTTACTTTATGTCTCTGTTTCATTGATGTTATTCTTAAGATAAGAAGAAGTCATCATCCATATTCTTCCACAGAAGTATCATAGAATGGCTTGGGTTGGAAGGGACCCCAAGGATCATCCAGTTTCAAACCCCTCCACAAGGAGGGCAGCCGACCTCCAGATCTCGTACTAGACCAGGTTGCCCAGGGCCCCACACAACCTGGTCTTGAACACATCCAAAGACAGTGCACCCACAGCTGCTCTGGGCAGCCAGTTCCAGCACCTCACCACTCTCTCTGTGAAGAGCTTCCCCCTAACATTCATTCTAAACCTTCCCTCCTTCAGCTTAAAACCATTCCACCTTGTCCTGTCAACAGAATTACAGGCATCAGCTAGAGCTGGCAGACACAATTCACACATGTAGGCATGATTTTTAAAGTTCTACCTCAACAGGTATTCTATTGTGTTTAAAATAACAGCCGCATTCAGTTTAGCTACAATTTTAGGTGTTGAGTATTCTGCAAATTCATTTGCCACAGACTCTGCCATCAGACACCCAAAACAAACAATACACAGTTACTGACTGTTTCTCAGAAGGCGGTTTTAATAGCCTCCTATTACCAACCCCAGGAAGCAGAAGTAGGAAGATAATATCAGGCATCATGAAGATGCTATACATACAAGACTATTTTTCCATCTTCTGCAGTCCCTCAGTACAGCTTCCAGTTTCTGCAACAAGTGAGAACTGTTGCTTTGCTATAGTACGCAAATCCAATCTTCTAACAAGTTCTGTCTGAATACTATTTTTTTTTCCCTGCTAAAATAGGAGATAAACATGCAAGCCAAACATTTCATAATTAAAGTTGCATGAAGGGTTCAGGCTATCTCCACATGTTCCATAGAAAATTCTGCAATTAAGAAAATGCCTCAAAAATCTGTATTAAAAAAATAAGCTTTCCGAAGCTAATCTGTTTTAATGATTCCAACTGTCTGTAGTTTTTAATGTTACATTTTTTTCAAAATAAAAAAAAAACACCCACAAAGTAACAAGAATATTAAACATTTAATTCTGAAAACAAGATAACAAAGCCATGCAGAAGTATCAAAGGATATTCTCTCCTCCCCTATTACCTAAGGAAATCTTTGAAATGGGTAGATGTTAACATAAATTATCCTCAGCTAAGTTACGATATAACCAAAATTTTGAAAACTTTAAAAGCATTGTAGTATTCTCTTAAGTTGCTCATCTATATGTGATTTTCTGCTTCTCTTAAAAATGCAAGCCATAAAATCAGAAGCAAAATGAAATTCTGTCAGATGGTATTAGATTATCATCCATTTAGTTGGCAACATTGAGATCTTTTGCAGACTAGATACTGAGAGTTAATGGAGGAGCTAACAGCCAAAGTACTATTTATGTTTGGGTTTCATTTCCTGTTGCAGAAGAAATTGTGATAACCAGGAACTCAAGACTCATAGAAAGTTTTTTACATTACTATATTCTATAGTTATTCCATACTTTGTCATGATTTCTGCTTGCATCTTCAGAATATATAATTTGCTTGTGATTTTCCTTAAAGATCTATCTGAATTAAGAACTGTTTTGTGTTTACGAAGTACAGCAAGGCCAAGTGGAAGGTCCTGCACCTGGCAGGCATAAGTGCAGGCTAGGCAGAAAATGAATTGAGAGCATCCCTGGGGAGAAGGACTTAGTGTGTTTGTTGATGGGAAGATCAACATGAGCCAGCAATGTGCTCTTGCACCCAGAAAATCAACAGTATCCTGGGCTGCATCAAAAGAAGTATAGCTAGTCGGTCAAGGGAAGGGATTCTCCTCCTTTACTTTGCCTTTGCTTCTCATTTTTATTGCTCAGCATTGTGCTGCATGGTAGGAAATATCCTTTTGACCAGTTTGAGTCAGCTGTCTTGGTTCTGTCCCTTCCCAGCTTCTTCTGCACTCCCAGTTTCCTTACTGGCAGGGCAGTATGAGAAGCCAAAAATCCCTGACTTAGTGCAAGCACTACTAAGTAACAACATCAGTGTGCTATTAACATTATTTTCATGCTAAATAAAAAAATGGCACCATTACCACTCACATTCCCAGTTTCTTTTGCAACCACGTGTTTTTGAGCTCTGAATTCTTTTTTACAAAAGTTTTGAGGAAATACTTATGACAACAACATTTTTTTCGTTGTTAACTATCAGCAAATATTTCATGGGGAGAAGGGATAGTTAGGCATGTAAAGAAAAAAGAATGTTCAAAACAAGAAAAGAAATTTTCAGTGAATTTTGTTTTCTGATTTCAGCTGACAATATGTGAAACTTTAGTACTTTTATGCAAGATGACTGGATTACTAATAGGATGCTTTAAATACTTTCTCTTGGTAAGGTTCTTAATTTTTAATCTCAGGGAAAGAAAAAGAAAAACACAGCAATATTCTTCCAAATACAATGCTCTCAATCCAGAAGAAAAATGAGTACTAGCACAGTAGGTGGTCGCCTTCCTGCTGAATCACTATCAATGCCTGCACCATCTGGATTTTCCTTGGAGACCTCCTATCCAAGAACTGACAAGACCAAATCTTATTTATGTGACGAGATCATATGTATGCAAGCAAATCTAGTATCATTTGTTAAGTTTACAAATACTGTATGAAACAACTAGTGTGTAAGTAGGCTTTATGAAATTCTATGTCAGTGAAATTTTGTGTATTATTCAGTTTACATACACTTGTAAGAAAAATGTACCCAGTAAATAAAATAAGATTTCATTTTTGTTGGAAAAAAAATATAAAAAGTTATTTTACTAAAAATGAATAATTAATGTAATTATTGCCTGTGCCCATTTTTTTTCATCATGCAGAACATCCAAAAGCAGTAGGTCAAGAGGTAGCATAGCAGCCTACAAAAACTGAATTAAACAGAGCTTATACAATGAAATTAAATATTTTGTGCCCAAAAGCTTTGATTTATTAGGTAATTTAACTTTTTAACTGCAGCTTAATTTCATTCTGTTTAGAATTTGAGAAAAATGTATATCCATGTTCAAAGGATTTTAAAGAGAAACTGGTATTTTTTAAACCCTGAAACAATGCATATATGTTTTAGAAGAACCTAAATTACAAACAGACATCTATAAAGAATTATGAATGATAACTGAGAGCAGCAAGCATTTCAAATCTCTGAGCAATGTAGCCATCACAAATATCCCATATAACTCAGAATGAAAGTTATATATTTCATTACGTACAGTTTTATACTAATATCCAAAAATAGGGAAGTAGTGGAAAATCAAGTTCAGAAGTTCATATCTAGGTTTAATACAAACTGAACGAAATTACAAGGCACTATAGTTCTGACCTCCTACTCGCTCATGAATCTTTCATGGTATCAAAATACTTCTTCCCTCTTTTTTTATAGTCAGTAATCTGGCTACTTTCCCAAAGAAGCATTTTTCTACTAATCTAAATGTTACCTACTAGTTTCTCTCTTTTCTTTTTTTTATTTGCTATTTTTTCATTATCATTAATACACATACACTGGATAAATACTTTAGATAACCAATTGAGGAGCAGCACCTCTGCATAAAGAGAAGCCAGAACAAGATTTCCTCCACTGCACCACTCAGGCTATCTAAATTAGAAGGCATTCTCTATAGATCTACAACTGCATGGTGATAAGGCATTCCTAGAGTTGAACCAAGCCTCAAGCTATGAAAAATAACTTTAATCCCTACTTGTTCAGTAGTGTTAAGGATGATGTTGAAGTCTGAATCTGAGAAATGAGCTGCACTGGCAGCTGCTCTCAAGTATGCTTGCTTTATAGCTCAAGCTGGCCTCTGCATGCTGAAGTCAGCAGCTCTTATTATACTACTGAAGAGACTCAGTGTAGCTCAGGTGTTGAACTCAGTTGTGAAAGCACAATTTTCAACTGCCTAAAGAATAAACGGACATTTCTAGTGACTGCAATAGAGACAATAACAATTTTCATAATGTACACATACAGTACTCATAGCCTTCCAAGATTGTTGATGACTATTGCCTTCTCCGTGGCAAGAACACTGCAGCACAAATGATGCCTTCTTACAAACATTTCATTTCCTATAGATGGAACCCTGCAAAGTGGACAGATGTCTACAAGAACATGACAACATGAGGCGTAGACTTGTCAGTCATTCTGGCCCAGCTCAGCCACACATAATCTCTCAGCATATCAGACATTCACGGATTGCAGAGTGTGTCTGAAGCTTAGTCTTACAGGTGTGCTTAACCTTGAGCTCTCACACATGACTTTTTGTCTAGATCCAAGTCACCTGCTTCTTCCCTATTAGTACCGTGGATGCTTGCCTCTTCTGTTACATGCTCTGATATTTATAAAATCATTTTCAAATGTTTTAATTGTCCATTTTCTAATCCTGAAGTATATCACAAACATTGTGCAGCCTTTTTTTTTTTTTTTTTTTTTTTTTAATTTAATTAATTTTAAAAATCACTAGGATAGAAAACAGAGTTCTGCTTCTTTCAGGTGCTTTCTTTAGCTAAAAATTAATAATCAAATGTAAAACTCCTCGACATTTTAAGTCAATGAGATTTGCAAACACACACCAAAAGATCATACAGATGTAATCATGCATTTTCAGAAACAGGTCTGAGTGAGAAGGATATTCTGTTTCTGGGAAAGAAAAGCAAGAGATAAATATACTATTCATTTTTTCACCTGCAGTTACACAACCAGGTAGTGCATTTTGAAAAGCACAGAGTTACATTTATGTGAAAGCCACAATTCCCACTATTGAAAATATACTTATGAATCACATGCTATCATATCTCAGTTGCAGAGATAATTGCAGTATGCAAATGCATATTCCTTCCTTTTGCCGCAGCCTCAGACTGATTCAGACATATGGTTTGCAGAATGCTTGCAACTGTCTCATTTTTGGCACTTCAAGTACAGGAAGCAATACGTTATTTGTATATTCTGTTAAGGACTAATACAACACAAAGCCCAGTGAAACAGTTCAACTTTAGATCATACCTTTCAAGTCTCTCCTGGCTCGTCTACACTGTTTCCTGAAAAGGAATCACTTAGATTTTTTTGTAAAGGTAGTTTGACATCTGCTCTAGTGGTCATCACTAACCTTAAGGCTTCTTTTGCATTGTTCTCTGTTTATGCTGCATTTTTTTTCCATTGCCTCTGTATTAGGACCCAGACCTGAACTCAGTGAAGACAACAGAAATCTTTCCATTACTTTATGATAAAGGATTGGAAACCAAGTCTCCCTCCGGGATGAGAAGTGAATTGCATGACTTCCAACCAGAAAGGCTACAATCTGCATCAGGATGCTTGACTGTCCCACCGCACCCAAGTTTCTGAGTATTTGTACAAAAGCTACAGATTTGCTGTGTCAGCACGTCAGGCAGCAATGCTCCTAAAGACAAGAAATAAAATATGTTTCTCTCATTCAGTGTCAACAGTATTTACATGTCAATCCCAGTTACATTCTATTTTAATATGGCTTAGAGTAATTCAATCACAATTTTTTTTCCTCTTGTGCTTATTTTAGTACCAGAGAAGTTGCCTTTTTAAAAATCTGACTGATCACAGAGAGAGCAATACAAATATTACACCTTAGTCTTTTTAAGCAGTGTACACGCACATTAGTCATTAATTTTCCCATTAGTAAAAGGACACTTATCAGTTCTGTCCTCCAAGATCTACAGTAATGTCTTTTCTTTGAGGAAGAAAACAGGTTAATAAATAATCCAAATTCTGAGGTTTATTGGCCTTTTTTGTCATTCACTTCCAGTGGGAATTATAGCAAGGAACAGTTGCCCTTGTTAACCTGCAAACATTTTTCACTCAGTTAGGTCATTGCCTCTGGCTCAAGGGTCCAATTTTCCTTTCATTCATTAAGCACATTGGGAAGCGGAGTTCCTAACCCTTTCCAGTCTAAATGTGGAACAATCACATCCCCTCACAATCAAGTGCCCATGTGCTGGGACCTTTACGTTTCACCGTGATCTCTCAGTGACGCAAATTTTTAACAATTGAAGGATATTAAGTCAAAAAGTCGTTTTCTAATTGGAGGAGCTCAGGGGATTTCAAATAATGAACTCTTATAAACTGGAAGCTGGTACATGTGCCTTTTTAATTACTATATATTTTTTTTAATTGGGGGAGAGGGCACTGCTAATCTCAGAAAGCAGATTCCAGAAGTTCTGCCTATGAATAAAGGAAGGCAATGAAGGATAACAGTTAAAAAACAGCATAAAAAAATTATTGTTTTCATGAGTTGAACTGACATATTCTCATATGACATTTTACTGGATGGTGTTACAGCTAGAAAACAATGCCATTTTAGTTTTTCAAAGTTTATGTGACATAACTAATTCAGATATTACTTTTGGGGCATTCATAAAAAACAGAGAATGTCTTCTTTCTATTGCTAAAAGTCTTTGCTACAGTGAGTCTCAATGGATGCAGAGATGGATAAATGATGGATGCAGCCTTGTAACTGAGAGCTGAACACTTGAGTTCTATTTAAATAGAGTTTTCCATGCATACAATTGCCTGTGCCAAAATATAATAAATTGAGCAGTAGTGTTTAAACAGAGCCAATGATATTAAGATAAGCAGAAATAATCACTAATCCTTCACAGCAGTATAACTGAAGACTTTGTAATGAAAAGACTTAGAAATGGGAAAAACTGAAAGGGGAACCTCCAAAAAATTGCTCAGAAGGAGCAATAAGGAGAAAGATACTTGAATGCGAGAAACATGGAATGTGGAAAAGATTGAATCCAACATCTTCGTACTGATTTCTGATCATCCTATTGCTCAGTAAAAGTACAGGAAGGATTCCACATGAGCTGTATGTAATGACTTTATGGCACAGTGTGAAGGGGTAAACAGGGCATGAGATAAGCACACTGTGAAGCTGAATTTTGACAATGGGAGACAAAGGGAAGGGGATGCAGACTGAGGACTGAACAGAAGGAAACAATACAAAGAGATCTGGATGTGTGGGATGCATGTAAATAATTCAGTTGCAGACAGAGGAAGAGAAAGAAATTGACACGAACACTGATGTTAAACAGAAAAAAAGAGCTGAGGATGGGATGCTGGCAGAAGAAAAGCTGCTATGGGTCTTCAACTTCCAAATACTGAGCTTATTGTTGTCTATATAGAGATTTCCAGAAAAGACTGCAGACATGTCAGAGGAAGTAGAAATTTGTTCAGTGGGGAAAGATGGAAAGGGAAATTTTGGAATTATGTGTTGGCCAATTGTGGAAGAAATTGGAACTGAGTCAAATTTTCAGGGAGATTCCCAAAGAGAGGGAAAAGCAAATTTGGTGTTTTTCAAAAGCATACACAACCAGCTTCCTTCTTATTAGTACAACTTATGTCTGTGTCAACATTTTGCTATTTCTAGAAAAGGAGAGAAGAAACATTTTGTGTGAACCAAGTGACGGTCTACATGCAGACAGCAGAAGTGTTCAGCTAGAAGACTGTAGCACAGTTTGTGTTCTTTCTGGAATAAACTACCAATGCAGGAAGGCTATTTAGAATTTCTTACATTCTCAGTGTTTCAGAGCAAGAGATTGATCAACCACAGACTATGTCAGAAAATTTTGGAAGACATTTTTTTCTTCATTTGGGTTTTGTCAAAATTAAAATTTTTACATTTTATATATACAAAGGTTGCTCCAAAAGTAACGCCTCCTCCTTCCTTGCATGGAAAATATAACATATACAAAGAGTACAGTAACACAACTTGATAAAGAAAATTATCAGCTAAAAAACACTATTTTTCAACATGTGCACCACCATTACTTATGTGTTTTTGCTTGCATGCCATACTCATAAAAATTTGCATCAGCTGTGCATGGCTGTTTCTAACAAGACTTGTCTTTCCCACTGCTGTTGCCGCTGTTGAAACACAGCCTCTCTGTGCCCACATCCACTGTTTGGGTCTCCAAAAACATTCAGCAAGTGTTGATGAATATCAAGGGGTGCATTTTTTTTTTTTTTTTTCATGGAGAAATACACTTCCATACCTTTGCTTCTTATGCTAATCCATGTCAGATGCCATTTTTCCAGGTTTCCCCCTTTGCTGCCATCTGTCACACAGCAAAAAAATTTAATGGAATATTGGTGGGAAAGTTCACTCTCCCTTTCCATACCACCAACATCCACCTCAGATGTCATGGGCCAACATAATAAAATAGGAGGCATTACTTTTGGAACAGCCCTTATATATTTATGTATGCACACTATGAGAGAGAGAGAGTTTTTTGTTGATATAGTTATAACTCTTCATTTGTCAATACTGTCCCAGATACTGGGTAGATTCTAGATGAGGATCTTTACTCCAACTATTTTTGCATTCAGTCGTGCTAATACAAATTGAGCCAAATCAGGGAGCCAAAAGAAAGAGCTGGAAAATCCTCATTATCCCCTAGGGTTCAGGGCAGGCAGATGTGGCTAGGAGACTGTGCTTCCTAAAGCTTCCAGCCTCCTACTTATTCCGGAACAATTTCTTTTTATTTCTTTTTTAAAAATAAATATTAAAATCTTTTCCATGCAGGAATGAAACAATGCTTGTAAAACTTGTGCGAGTGTGGCAGATTTATGCTGGGGGAATCCAACTGTCTTTCACTTAGTGGCAGTTACAAAGCTTTGGGCAACAGAGATTCAAATTCCTATAGGGCATCAGAGATTCAAGTTCCTATAGGAGCTCTTTCTATAAAAAATAGTTCCACTTCCACACAGCAAAGAGAATCTGAGTGGGACCCATCTCTTCTTCCCAACCTGGCTCATGAATATTTTTCTCTTTTACTGCCCCAAAAAGCAATCAAGCAAACCCAACACATTTCTGAAAGCTTCAATTTTGAGAAAACACTGCCTATTTTTGGGGAGCTCCAATGCAGTGGAACTTTTTTAATTACTTTACCCAAGTGCTTTGGATTGCTTGAATGGCACTGTTACACCAATGCCACTTTCCATGTGGACTTCCTCTAAGTACAGATATTAAGTAAAACTGCCTGAAAACGAGTACATCCATTTCAAAGGGAAAGTATAGACTTATTTTTGAATGA